TGTTCTCGTTTCGAACAATCAATGAGGTAGATCACAAGAGCGCAATCTTTCGAAAAGGGAACCAGAAATGGGGAACCTTGAAATCCATTGTAAAAACAGACACTTTTTCGGGGAACTTGCTTTCATCATCCTCTTTTCTTTGTTTCTTCGTTTCAGTGCACACTTTATTCCTCCGATTACTTCATGCAGAAACATTTTCCATGTGTTTTGCTGCTTTCCTTCTTCAATTTCAAAACAACAATGTTGCTGATGGTTCATTTTATCGGACGTTACGATATGGAGGCACAGGAGGAGCAGTGGCTAACGATGCAGTTCAATAACGCGATCACGGCCCTAGTTCGACCCGTTCCAAACCAAGCAAATCTCTCATCCTTTGAAGTCTACGGTCAGATTTATCTGAAAAAAGCTCTTTCCGATAAAATATATCTGGGAAATTACGAAGAAATTTATGCTTGAATGTGAACACTGGAGCCAAACTTAGAGAAAAAGTGCCAGCTGGTAGGGCTTCCATGTAGTAGTTGCTTTTAGAGGCTCTGTTTCTCTGAGACTGCACAGAAATGTCTATTACCTATAACTTCCAACTGCACGTGGTTTTTCCTTATTCCATAGAGCTATATTGATTTAGATGCGTAATTCAGTGGACTACAATAATAATATATCCATTGGGGTTACAAATGCTTTCAATGGATGATTTTCGGCTCCAACTGGCCACAGGGAGACCTAATCGAGTGTTCTGTGCACGCGACTCTTTTCTTGTTCTACTTCACCATAGTTTTGATGTTGGTGGAAGATCTGCGCAAACCCGTTTTCGTAAATAGACATTGGTCCTGACCGATCTCTGCCTGGTGAAAATATTCTCTGATTTGTATAGCGTGCTTTATGAGCACACTAACATTAAGATGCAGCAATTCTGAATTGGTGGGCGCCGTATAGTATTTAATGGCCCCATAATATACACGTGGTTTTCGGTTCGATCTCGCGCTCTTGCCTCACTAAGTCTTCCATCTCTAGGGAGTGATCTGTCGAAAATCCACGGCCGTGTAGCATCTCGATCCTGTCCATTCAATCGTGATTGCAGAAAGATGTTCTCTGCACTGCCTATTATTTTGGGCGACGAAAAGACCAAAGACCCGTATGGTGTGGCGGTGAACGCGTTAGGCCCCGGAGAGTGTAACAGCGCATTCGATCCTCACCGCAGGCACCTGCGATTCCAAGTTTTGTAAATATCTGAGCACAATTGTAGTTGCACTTCACAATAATAATAGGCATAATATGCTACCATAAAAATTGCATTAGGCAGGAAATAAAAGCTTAATACTGTGATTTCAACTACAGCCTCAGCTTGACTGGGATCAATGCCGAGTTGTTCTGCCCAGATCAATTCCGTTGGCGGTTTATTGCCGATGTCACTGATCAATAAAACTAAGCTGGGAGACAGAAGAAACTAAGGACCCGCACGGTGTGGTGGTGAACGCTTTAGGCCCCAGCGAGTGTAACAGCGCGTTCGTTCCCCACCGTAGACACATGTTGTCAGGAGTTTTGCAAATATCTCAGTACCGCTGTGGTTCTAAAGACAGCATGTGAGATTTTCTGCGGTAAGCTTTCAACTATGTCAAGACATGCCACCATGAGGGTTTGATGGAAGTTCTTGCGGTCAAACTAAGTTATTTCTTCAGTTTTTATATTCCGACATTACTATTATTTTACCATTGCACTTTCTACTGCTTCATTCAGAACAATCAGTGTCATTTTCGTGAGGACAAGACGACTTCTGTCCATAAAAATTTTTTAGGAATGCAAATATGAAGAATTTAGAAATCACATGGAATCAATGCAAGTTCCATGGGTTATTCCACATGAATCATTGGGAATCAACGGCTTCGACAAGCCTGCATAAGGAGTGCATCGATTTCCTAAAAACATAATTCTTTTCCTACACTGTGGTCTTTTAGATCAAAGAACAAAGTCGCCAGCGATACCTTTTTCGCTTACTATGCTTTTGGCTGCATAATGGGCATTAGAAGAACTCTAAGCTTTTTTAGAAGCAACAATTGTCTATTTTGAGCTTGAACGACACCTGGAGACGGAGGTGGCACACGAAAGCACATGTATTTATTTATTTATATTTTAAATTGGTTATTTGGTTATAAACTATTTTTTTATATTCTTGCAACCCAACTTCGCATATTTCATAGGCACCGGCAGTTCTTTCATTCGGTTTGTTTTCTCGCATANGGATTTGCATCTTTGTTAGGCTATCAATTGAGGATTTCGTCCTCCCAATGGAAGTAATTGACTGCTGGTCACTTTGATTGTCCTAAAAATTATGTGGTGGTTATACTAAGGTGTTTCCATTTTATTCCCACAGGCAGTCACAAAACAGTTTAATTCGGAGGTAGCTTAATCCTAGTACCTCTATCATGGCTTCGAGCAGTTTAGGAGGCGTGGTCTTTCCGTTACAGTATCGAACCATTGAACGCCATCCTTATTCACTTTACATTCCGTGTTCAAATTCACATTAAGAAAGGAATTTTGACCTCCTAATTTTGTAGCCAACGCAATGCAGCCTTAACTGTGCAACATGCCAGGTGTTTAGAAGACCATGAAGACATATCACGCCTAATTGAAAGGGCGGAAAAATGGTTTTCAACATCCTACGTGCACCTTATCTATCTATCTATATGTTTATCTTTTTTGATGATGAGAGTGAAACTGCTTTTCACGTTCTGATTAGATGAGAAGGTAAAAGAAGTGCCTGAAGGTGATTGACATGGTCGGGGTTTGTTCCCAGATATCAGTTGAATTAAACAAAAATGGGAGTGAACATAGGTGTTGAGAACTTGAATTAGGTCTTTGTAGGCTCCTTCTTTAAAGGACGCAAATTGGATAAATGCTGTTTTCAGAAGCTCGTATTTTTTAACTCTTAAGGTCTTCATCATTTCCAGTGAAAACCCCAAATGCGCGTATCACGTGGCTCTCGTGACTGGGTACTCTTCCTTCTTATTTCGTTTCAATGTCATCACTCCTTCTTCACAAATTGGATCCTCTTCCTTTTTTCCACTTAAAAAAAAGGGGATCCAGTTTATGGAAAAAGTTTTTAAGTCGTTCTCTGTGCATCACAGTATATTCCAATTTCCTCATTTAATAAAACTTCATCGAAGGCCTCCAATGTGCTGACCTTCCCAAATCAACAGCCCTTCTAATGCTCTGTTATGCAGCAGAAATGTGGGCTATAGTTGATTGACTTCAGAAATACTGTGTAATACTCACTGGTCGCATGTGGAGCAGTGGTCGGAGGCACTACGCGGCACACACGTAGGATCGATCCGTCCGTAGTCCACCAAGCCTTCCACGCCTTCCATTCCTCCGGAGTCGGCAAATTGGTATCAGACATGTCTGGGAGGATAGCAGCACTGGCTCGATACAACGGTAGGCCACCGTCAATCATTGTAAAGGTCAGATACGCATTCAATCACCTCCAACGATGCTTAATGGCACTCTCAATATCTAGCTGGTATGCGAAGCTCTCATCTTGAAACCACGTCACATATTTTTGGTATAGAAAAATATACATCGATAGCTAAACATAGGTGGACCGGTCATATAATGAGATGAACAGACGACAGATGGAGCAAAAGTGTAGAGTGGACTCCACGATAATACAAGCGGCCACTTTGGGCGGGCGTGTTCGTTGCCAAAGCTGACCAGCTATATTCGAACCTGCAATTGTTTCATAGAAGGCTTTCATCCGCCACTATGCTCAAGTTAAATCACCGCCATAGACGACGGTTTCGAATGAAAGGAATGAATGGAAATCGTGCTGAGGTCTACACAACTAGTGAAGAGAGCCCGTCCAATAATAACACTGCTCCCTGTCCAAATGCCACCCTCAAAATCTAAGTATGGAAGAAAAGCATTTCTGTTGACAGCACCTATAAAACACTGGTGAGAGAAAGGCGAAACGAAAGTCTCGCATGATGTGGTGATGAAGGCCTTAGCCATCGGAAAAGGTAATAGCGCGTTCATTCGTCATCACAGACACCTGCGGTCCGGAGTTTTGTAGACATCTTAGCATCATTGTGGTTATATTTCTGCAAGAGTTTGTCAAGCAAGCTCTTCTACGCTTGAATAACAGCCGAATACATCCCAATAACGTGACAAACACACTATTAAGTGCTCAATTCCACCATTCACTCAACAAACCCTTTCTAAAGGACAACAGAGCTATATCATCGCTCCGTAGTTCATATGATCGTCATCTTTATGGCAAGTACTAGTGATGCAACTAAAAGAGGGTGCAGAAGGAAATAAAATATAAAGCAGTGAACAAACCAAAAAAACAAGAGATGGAACTAGCAACGAAGAAGCACAATTTGATATATATAGCTCTTTAATCTATCCAAATCCCTAAAACGAACAAAACCCACTGGGCTGCTCTTACACGCGACAGGGAATAATGGAGGATTTACTGGCGCCCGCGCTCGAGTCACTCTATCATCAATGGGACTACAGGTGACAGGTGACATGTGATAGCTCTTTAACAACGGTTCCCGGTTCCAGCAATACGGTGAGTGGGTAACACAGCAGCGGTGTGCTTTTCGAAAATCTGCACCTGAATCACCACCGGCTATAGTACGTTTTTTTCGATAGTGTTATCCAGCATCTAAACGCAACCGATGAAAAAAAAACAAGAAAATATCACCCTTAAAACGAATAAATCCTACAGGAAAGACAAATAAGTGAGAGATGATACATAAAGTGTTGAGGACAGCAAGAAATTCTGAATACTTTATTCAAAAAGTATCGTTAAAAAGTGTAACAGTTGTCTAGTCCGATTTCTTAGCGTTTCCGTTTCGAATCCGTACAGGACATCTGTGACGTAAATCTATCCCTGCAGCACCACCTCCCGCGTCGCCACTTCCGGTTGCGGTTTCGCTTTTGGCACTCGGTGTTGTTTCTTGTCTGCTCAACTTTTCTTTGCAGATTCTGAAGTGCGAATATTACAGTAACAGAGTGGAAAGTCGACGTTTTCCATTTGCCGATACCTTGTTGTGATCACCTCGACTCCGTTTGTCAGGAGGCGGAGGCTTTTGCTCCGCATCAGATCTAAACAGTGCAGATCAATAATGATAATAAACTTAGAGGCATCAATAACTGTATAATTTAACGCTATATGCATCCCTCAGTACCGTAGAGAGGTGGTTGGAACCGTTCCATCTTTCTCTTCAGATGTGAAGGTACAAGCAGCGCGCACACTGTTGGCTTGAGAACCAGATACTAAAATAGTTTCTTCATTCTGATATATGCTATTTTAAAAAATGAACACTAAAGATCCTGGACAGTACGAAAAAGACGGTTACATATCGAGCCCTAAGAGAATGCGAGAATGCCTTGCGCAAAAAAATCCCTATTGCAAGAAAAGGTTGACGAAATTCAAACCTGCTTCCTTCCCAGAATTCAAGTTTGTTTCAGCCATCTGACTCTTAAAGATGGTTACACGGCTCAAATCTTCTGTGGTGAGTTGACAAGCAAGACACTGTAAGAGACATGAACTTAGTTACTGGTAGCAATCCGAAGTATAAAACCCACCAATGTGCTTTCCACCGAAAGGCTAGCGGCTAAAACCTATGGTTCACAAAAAACTACTTCTTTTATAGATGACTCTACGTAGGTCTACTTTGGCAGAACGCTCAAATACAAAATAAATCGTGAAGATATGAATCACAGTCCCATAACAGAGCCGCATAATTTGAATCTATGTTATAGATATAAACAGTAATGCTTAGCTTTTCCATGACACACAGAAGTTCCGGAGCACGTGACCGTGTGGTACTCATCCCTCACGTGTGGCTGTCACCCTTCACGTTTACTATAGGTCTTCTGATGGTTTTGGAGCTTACCGAACTTATGTGTGTGTAATTAGGAAAGACTCGCCCACTATGCAATCACTTTTTTCATCATGTAATATAGTTGCATACTATTTACAGAAATGACTATCAATAAGCTTATGCACGATT